CCATCAGTGTGGATTTGCAAAGAGGTGACAAGAGAGTCCAAAAGGGGGCAGTTGTATCGGTTGTGGATTGAGTTGAGAGCATTGTATTTACTAGAAGGTCAAGGACACGTTCGATCACCAGCGTCGTCCCGCCATCGTCGTTTACCCTGGGTCCTGTCAGATTATACTGTGGCGCGGTGCGGTATTGGTTTACGAGGATCAATCCATCTTTTTCATATCCTGAATGCCATCAAGTATAAAAGTTCCCGTTTGGCACCCCTGTGTGAATTGTTCGTCAGTGATCGCGTTGATCAAAGCGAGGGTATCTTCTCCGATTACTACCAAAGCATGATCATAGGCGAAGGAAAAGGCAAGTCTTGATGTGCGCGGAAGCTTCCGTCGTCTCTTCTGTGGCGTGTGCCACCCACGATAGCTAGACTAGAGCCTATCTTACTGTGACCGAAGTTACGCGAGTGCATCGGTACTCCCAAGGCTTTGACTTTTCGGTCGCGCGGCTCAGAGAGGCCCGGTTCGGACTTTCATCTTCCCTGAGCTGTAGGTCATTGGCAAGGGGAATCCCGGCACCGGCCGGTCCGCGTCGAGCATTAAAGCATGGCCGTGATCTACAAGTCGGGCATTAACATTTTGGCCGATGCGCGACTGGTAATCTCGGGGAATTATACGGTGGGGGGGAATTTTCTTTAATAAGCGCCGGTGGCCGTATGCGGCGGACGGAACGGTTGTCGATCTGCGAATGGGGGGGTCCCAGTCGATCATGATCGACCGACGCCGGGCTAGCCCGCGGGGGAGTCTAGAGATTAGCAGTGGGCTTCTTTATCCTCTTCACTCCGATCCAAGATCTAAGATCTAAGGATGCGTTCGCCGCAGTACGGATACGGGGTAGCCTTATGGGAAAGGTGGGTTGCTAGGTAGGCCATTGTGTATGTGCTGCCATGAGGAGCTGGAGAATCTCGAATGTGGTTAGAAGAGGCCTGTTCGGAATGGAATGGGGTCTCTGCGGTTTACTACGTATGTTTATGGTTGACATGACAAAACCGCTCTACGTGCAAAATGATGTGAATTACACGGGTAAAGGGTCTCTGATCGCCCTCATGATTGTCATCGAAGTGGTTGTTGTATCTCAGAGATTTCGGACACTGGGGAAGAATCCCCGTGCTGGATTTCAACATTGACTACTATGTAGGTGGTAAGACCTGAGAAGTCGCCCTCCCTCCGCAACTATTCAGATCCACAGGTTCAAGAACAGCTACGATAAGGGGGGGGGCAGAACGTATGAGTGTAAAGGCAGCCGCTATATATCGCTTTCCAAAAAGGGGTATATATACTAAGGGAGCAAGAAGGATCCTGTCTCAAGAAAAGAGGAATATGCCAAAAGAGCCATGCGCGTTTTGAATGTGTGAATACGAACGTCGAATCCGGGGGCGCTGTGTGACGGGTGGAGTTCATAGCATGACGGAGAAACGTGAGGGTGGTGTCCGCGAGAGTCGAGCTCATTACGAATACAACCATTAGAGGTAGCTGCGCTCAAGGGGACTGGTAGACGGTAAGGTATCCGACCTCCATCATGCTTGCGTAGCCATCTTGGGTAGCGTCGGTAGGAGAACCAGGCAACGTGCCGCCTGAAGCAGGTTAGCATTCTCATGTCCATCATGCGGCCATCCGCAGTATCAAGAACTAGAAACTTACCAACTGCCACATTCATGAGCACATAGTAAGGCATGTGGCAAAGAGTCGCCCAAATACCCTCGTCCCCGATATCACTGCCCTTGAGCTGGTTGAAGACAACACCGTCGCGGTACCATGTGATGGTCTCAGTGACCCAGTTGTTGGACGTGCGGTCCCACTCCAGTGCCCACGTATGCCAACCGTTGTCGGGCATCGAAGTAGCCACGCCACGGCCGCTAGGCTCGTTGCAGATGCCGCCGGATTCTTGTTGGCAGTGAACGGTACCAGTGGCGGTAGCCTGGCCGTTGACCTGCTCAAAGATGTCGAGCTCACCGCAGAGGGGCCACTGAACTCCGTTGCGAACGGCATCGCCCAGCATCCAAAAGGCGGGCCACATGCCCTGCTTGTTGGCGGCGTCGCCCATTCTGAACATTGACTGAACCCGCATCTTTCCTCCCGGCTGAGGTGTCCATGCTGCCTTTGTCTCAATACGCGCAGATGTCCAGACGCCGCTTGCTGATTTCCGGGGAATGAGCTGGATGGTTTCACCCCCTGATATTTGGACGTTCCAGGATGATTCGGTGTAGGTCTGGACTTCGTTGTTCGTGTCGATGGCCAAGGCGACGTTCCATGTGTCGCTTCGAGGGGGTGAGCCGGCGTTTCCTTGGAAAGTCTCGGACCAGATGATTCTCATGCCATCTTGAGCTGGGGGCACGAGAGCACCGGCGAACGGTGTGAGAAGGAAGAGAAGCTGGGCGTATCTGGAAAGCATTTTGTGGGTGTGATTCTTGTTACTGGCTGGCACCTGTCTCTGATCTGATAGTATACTGAATGAATAAATTGATATTGAAGCCCGTGGATTTGATCTCGTCTATTTGCGAGCGTTCTGGGGATGAAAGTGAATGGACGATGATATTCAAGTTAATGTAATCACCAAGAAAGGAATGTAACGGCACTTGGCCTAGTGAGTGAAAGTGGGTGCGGTAGAGAACGAGAGAGGCACTAAAAGCACATGGAAGCCAACGGGCAGCGAGACTGGGTCGCCTCTATATATATGGCCAGGAGAAGTTCCTGCTTGGGTCGGTCTGGACAACGCACATCGGGAGGAACAACCTTGTGTTGGGACAAGGGAGCAGGACGACAAGGATACTATGCCGGAAGCAGGCGACGAGCTGCAATGGGCAAGGAGGAGCTTATGCCATGCCCTTGTTATCGCAAATGGTTGGATTAGGGTAGTGGTCCAGAGGCGGTAAGGCAGAGAAGGAAATTGACGTGGGGAGTAAGGATGAAACGCCCAGAAGCGGCCAGGAATACCCAGTGTGGCGATGACAATGGCCTGCCTACTTCGCAACTCGGCACAGTCTTTTCGGGTCGGCTCTCGCTCAGGTTGCAGTACAACAGGAGAGCCAAGAATGACTGAGAAAAGGCGCGGACAGGTTGTGGTTGGTAGTGGATGGTACATTAGGGCAACAAGGTGAATATGGATACATGACAGAAAAGGCAGGGGGTTATTCTCAGTATACCAACTTACCAAGAATCCATAAGGATAGAGGTGACTGGGGAGAGGAGTTCATGACGGGTAGTGGGCGTGTCCAATGGGCACGATTAGGGAGTCCTGATCTGCGTCGGACAAGACGACAGCCGCCAGAGATAATAGGGGCCGACCAAGATCGAGACCAAGATATTGACAAGGAAGTTGACTGAGGCCAAGGGTAAGCCGGCAGGTAGGTACTTTGTATGGTGAACTGTGAGAGCGAGCCAGAGCAGACAGAGCTGAACAGAGAATGGGGCAACAGGGTTAGATCTTTGAGAGCCGACTCGTTCAGAGATGTCTGTTCTCGTCAACGATCTCCATTCATCCACCCATATCCGTAAATATTGAATGCTGTGGGGGCAAGCAAAGAGGCTGAGGTACGAACACAGACTCTTATGCAGACGTGATATTGGTATGGGAGAGAACGGGGCTTTGCGAGTAGTCAAAAAAAAGGGACGGGGCCCGTTGGCGGCGCATCCGAGCCAAGGATCGACGACCGATACTGCACTGGCCAACGGGCGTCATTGGCAGTTCATCTGGACGGCATCAGTTGCATAACCTTTCAATTTGGGCACCAGATCCACCATGCGGCCAAAAATCGTAGCTAATCGTCCAGTCGGGAAGGACCAAAACTCTGAAAAGGAGGTGGACTCGGGACATTTGCCCAGAGCCTAGAGGTGCCGGGGTGTCGATCAGAAAGAGCCTCGAAAGGGGAGGAGTCAAGGACTAGGGTTTTCGGACGTGGGGGCAACGAGAGCCGTGATTTCCGTCCATTGGATGGCATCTTATGTAAGGAAGGTATTCGTATCTACCTACTTCTGTGAAGAAGGTACGGATGGGTATTCACGAATATGGAAAAGGTAGCTGGCAGAGGGCTTGCTTCTTGCGTTTCTTCAAGCCTGTGCTACGGCTGCCTCCTCTCCCCAAACGAAGCCTGACTCTACGAATACTCCGCACATTACTGCCAACTAGTGAGCATGTGGGTTGTCATGTTGTGCAACTGCAGTCTCCGTAGTGTGTGGCTGCGCTCAATGGTGTGGCAAGCGGGCCATTCTCGCCAAGATGGGATCGCCAAGTGCCCCTGAATATTCAAAAGCTGCACTCTTCATGTGCAGGCACCGGGATTGCACAGGCAGCGCAGCCCAGATGCTGGACCGGCAATGCATGCCTCTGGACCGGCAATGCATGCCTCTGGACCGGCAATGCATGCCTCTGGACCGGCAATGCATGCCTCTGAGACAACAAATGGCAGGGTATCTTGACAGGGGCACGCCGGCCCAAATCCACAAACGGGTCCAGCGCCGCTGGCAAGTTGGACCACGTCCACCTGGGACGACGGAGATTTCCTCCTTCTCAGGAGTCTCACTCTCGATTGAGTTGGCACCTTAAGAGGACTCCAAAACTCAGGAGGCCTCGAGATGGGCCCTTGAACAAATAGACGAATATCACATCCGTGCTTATGGACAAGCCGTGCAGCTCTACGACAAGTGAATGCCAGCCATCGCACGCTCGCATCATCACCCGCCAAAGAATTTCATTTTCACGAGGATCCAGCGCCGTTGAGTGTTGCCTCCACGGGTGCGACTTTGATGCCCCCATCCATGAAACTGAAGCCTCCCGCAATGGAAACGAACTGCGTTCTCATTCTCGGATGAACCATTGCAGCTGTCACGTGTTTCAAGCAAGGGGGCTTGGCTTTGGGTATCAGCGCGCAGTCATTGCATCACAACACTACGCATAGACATTCCATATGTCAGGCTGCCCGTCTGGGAAAAAGTAGTTCCATCATTCATGCTGCCTTCTATAACGAAAGCTTTATCGATCTATCTTCCGAAGCAACAATGAGACATTTCGTTATAGTGCAGCCAACCCACGCCGTAGTAAACCAACGAAACATCAATCGTAGTGCTGGGTATCCTTCAATACTGCCATATACCTGAACAACTGACAGTTCATAGTCGCTGTTCCTTGAACGCCGTTGTCATATACTGCTCACAAATCGCATCGCCGTGTCTAGGTTGGATCAACTCCATGAACCGATCAGTGGAGTGGCGAGCTAGATTCCCGGGCTCTTTCTGGCCAATGTCGAGCAACGTGTCATCTCCAGTTTCTGGGCGGAGAGTTTAGGTACACACCGTGGCCTGCTCGCTGTAGCTGGATAGCCATGTAAGTCGAGGTCCGCGTTATGACTACCGGGACCAAATAGACCGTATTCAACCCGCAGAGCAGGTGGTATCATTGCTCGCGCCAGGAATCGCAGGTCCAAATACATCCCCCAGCTTCTCACCCAGCCGCACAATAGTGTGCTCGTAGACTCGTGCTGCGTCCATGTAAAGACTGTCCTCGTCTTCGTCCCACGTTGTATCCATTGCGTCCTCGAGTTCAGTGTCGCTATTCGCATCTGTCTCGTCGTCTTCCATATCGTCGTCTCCGTCGGGCTCCTTGGTAAGGACCTCTACAATAACTAGTCGTGTCTGTTCCACCGAGCTGCGGCACCGCACCATGTCCGTGGTGGACATACCAGCTCTCATGCCGTTCTCGAAGCCGGGCAAAGTGTCTTTAGTCTCGATATCACGTCCGGTCAAAAGGCTCGCGAAGCAATGGTCCAGCTTCTTCAAGACAGAGAAGGTAGCTTTCGGGGCAGGAGTGAAGGCGTCAATCCATTGCGTGAAGTCGCTGGCAATATTCAAGAAGAAGGGAATCTGTATGCTCGCTGCAGGATAGAGTCAGTGTCAGTATCGGCGCTTGACTTAAAGCAACGCCGATATTTGAGGGGCAAGATCCTCACGTGTTCCGGACAGCCATAAAACGTCAATAACGTTATGTAGGTCCTTGCAGAGCTCGGTAAAGCTCTTGTAGCCTATGACTTCGTCGCCGGGCTCGGCATTGCCATGCTTCTTGACATAACGACGATTGACGACGGCGAGACGTTCCTCAACGTAGCGACGTACCGTCTCTTCCTTGTTGGACCCGGGTCGGAGCGATCTGGCACGGGGATGCGGCAAAGCCGCATTTGAGCGCGCCGAGGCACTGCTAGGCGCAGGCGAAGGGAGAGACTGTGACGGAAAGAAGCCGCCAGGGCCCGCGGGCTGCGGAGTGTCAGCCATTGTGTCTAGGTATTGATGATGGTTATTTCAGAGCAGATGCTGCTTTTTGCATCGTCCACAGAGAAGTTTCCTCGCTCTTATATAGCCTCTTGCCCCTTCAGGGTTCTTGCGACGCGGCGTAGTGGTGTATTGTTGTGCAGAACGGCAAGACAATTGATATCTCCGTTAAGCTACCTGTGAGGTACGTAGGTAATTAGGAGGGGCTGTCCCACCACCAGCCGCCTTATCTTATCTCCGATAAGAGCTATCCTTACCAGCCACAATAATGTGGCTTGCGCGTGGGTGACGTCCCGTCAAAAAATTTCGGCCCTGTACACTTTCCGCGCGAAGTCGAGCCGACCGATCGCGTTTACGACCTCACATCCGCCCCTTGCTCCAACGATTACGCCGTAAAGCACGACCCCAAGCTCGACTCGCAAACCGTTCATCCTTCGCGTCTTCAGATCCCACTCGTCAAAATGCCTGCCAAGCGAATCGTCGTCCAGAGGGACAGCCAGCGCTCTCGTCAGCCCAAGGGTTACTTCAGATCAACATACGATGCGTTGACTTCTGCCGAGAATGCACCCATCGTTCGCAGCGTCGCCATCTTTGGCGTAAGTCACCATGCTCTCCCAAATTACCGGTCAATTGAACTCTGCTGACGTCCAATGTAGGCAGCTGTAACTTTCCTCTCCAGCTCCTGGGGCGAATTCCTTCTTCCTCCGTAAGCTGTCCAATACCTTCGGTTCCAATTCCAGGTAGCTAATCCTTCAATTTCGCAGTCAATAAAGATCTTTCTATCATCGGAATGACGGCTCATGTATAATTACGTCCTTTTTGCCGCAATAGAAGCTGGCTGTACAATACTTGAAGAAAGGTAGTCTCGAGGCTACGGGGAATGGCATCTGAGGTCTGGTGTGGACCTCAAAGCCACGGCTTGCACCGGCTGGCTTTAATGAATCTCACTCTCACGCAAGACGTGTCAATTTTCGTACAATTGTACCGTGAATATGTATGATTGGAAGCATGTATGGCGGCTACTCCAAACGGTGTCTCGAGTCTCGTGCGCCTGGTTCGCTGTACATCAACTAGAACGCTGGTTGGCAAGCTGGAAAGGGAGTGCTGTTGAGGCCATCAATTAGGCGGTGCGTAACCGTATTAACCAAGTCTGCTTTACGCAGTAAATTTCCCTCGACTCTACCGATCACCTCTCATCACATCAACTCCGCGTTTGTGCAAGTCCCGTTGCACTTCTGATAGAGAGACATCGCAGCCCAGCCGCCGCACATCTCCGTCTTGCTACCCCCACAAGGCATATCGCAAGCTCCCCAGAGCCCCTTTTTGGGTTTCCGATCATCAGCTACCGAGTTACCGCACCAGCATTCCTTCGCATATTCCAGGCCGGCATACTGAAAGCCCTTTCCGTCACAGTGCTTGATGCACGTGTCAACCATCATGCTATCACTGGACGTCTTAGCGCCCTGAAGAGTCCTGCTCTGTCCAGCGGGATCGCGGCCACAGCCTAGAAACTTGTACTTGAGAGTGCTTGTTACGTCCTTGTAACCATATCTGGGTGCCGAAATCTGAGTCGCTGCACCGCAGCCTGATTCTGCCACAGCGTTGCCCGGGCCTCGTTGAACGCTGTTGCAACCAGGCAACTTGTCGAACTGGCCCTGGACTTGTTCATCAACTTTGACCGGAACTTGACAATTCCTTCGTGTCTCGTCATCAAAAAACTGGAAAACTGGGCACTTCTCAATGCTACCACTGTTGTCAGTGCATTGTGTGATAGCCGCTTGGAGTACGTTGACGTCCCATCCATTGATGAAATCGCCGTGCAAGCCATATCCAGTCGGATCGCTAGATAATGTGAGCAGATTTCCTTGCTAGGAAAGTGAAGGTGAGGTACTAACCCGTTAGACAATACAAATGGTTGCTTATCTCCGTACCACTTGTCCTTGAAATCATTGACGCTGAATGTCACTTCGTAAAACAGACTGGCAGAAAGATTAGCACCTTGTGTTGACGGGGTTTTTGGGGATGTCTCACGTAACGAATCTCTTGGGGTGAGTTGTAGGACATTTCCCGTTGTCAAGGCGATCCGGGTACGCCATATGGCTTTTGTGGTCGGGTGAATCGAGATTGACACCGTCCCAGCAGGCAGGAAAGATTATCTGGAGACGGAGACCATTCGGACAATTGCGATTGGGAAGCTCGCTGGTCGCAGGGCCGCTGTTGCCCAAGCACACGTAGGAGATGGCCCGCTGCTCAAGGGTGTTGTTGTAGCTTCGAAGCTTTGGATCACCTGCTAGCATCCGAAAGCCCTTGGGATACGCGATGAGCCCTTTGCTATATTCCGGGTCCTTGACGTCCTGGCGAAACCTAGAATATTGGTCAGTTCTCCGGTTTCTTTTTAATACTGCAGGGTTACTTACAAATAGTAGGCAAGCATGCCCCCTGACTGGGAAACACTCGTGAATTTGCCGTCCTGGCCCTGGTAGTAGAGGGTTGGAGTCCAGTAATTGCTCAGATCGGCAGTCACCTTGCATGTTGAGCAAGTAGCAGCGCGAGCCTGCTCATAGGTCATACTGAAGTCAAAGCCATTACCACCCATGATGGTGTGAACATGCCCAGAAAGAGCTCCCGGGTTGACAATTGGATCGGCGCGCTCAGTAACTACCGGTTTTGAGCAGGGCATGATGAAAAAAGCAGCCGCTTTACTGCTTGCCCAAAGCCCAACGAGAAGTTGTCTGCGTACTCTCATATCGGGCAACGATGAGAGTCGTGACTGAAAATTGATGGACCGCCGTGGAAAGGAACGAGACGTAAAGTACAATTAAAAGAGGGAGCGACCCAGGCCACCCAAAAATGACCAAATCGGCTAATGATGTCGCGGAATTTTTGCTAAAGATCAAAGTTCACCCAGCGAAAGTTGGAGTGGGGGCTTGAGAATAGATCGAAAGCTAATAGCTCCAATGGAAGAGCTGAAGAGCCAGGTACGCAGGCGTACGTGAGAAGAAGCAATGGCGACAAGGCTAGGAGAGGAGGGCAAGGTGAAGCAGGCCGTGGTGATCTTTTATCATTCACCTTCAACGCCCAATTCCAACCCCCCCACCCACATCACAAGGTCAGAATTAGGACCCAGACTGGGAGGCGGAGAAGGCCTCCCATCAATGTGGCCGTGACAATAGACGCAGACAAGCCATTATCTCGAATCTGAGCTACGGGGGAAACAAGGAGGAGACCCGTGAGTGGAGGAATATGACGAGTTGGCTGAGCCTAATCTAAATGCGTGCTCAACTTCGCCAAAGAGCTAAGATGGCGTCGAGAGTTGGCGAAGCTCTGCTCAGCTCTACGGCGGCGTTGGTCGGAGATGGCTCCGCTCTTCGGTCAGAAGGGAGAGGTGGTCGCAAGTAACGCTTACCGGTGAAGGTTGTGATCCAGAAAAGAAGGGTATTCCGCTCAATCGTTCCGCTCGAGTTTAGCCTTTGTGTTAGACATTACCGCAGTTGTCTCTGATTCACCCATTGAGCTGGTTGAGCCAAGAGAAAGAGTTCAAAGACAAGGCGTCGCGAATCTGACGCAGGTCGAGATCTTACACAGCGAGGTCGCTGCTTTAGGTCGTGGTGAACGAGAAAACTCCGAGAGGAGACATTAAGGAGGCAAGCTCGAAGCTTCGGGACAAATTGTCTTAGACACGTGGAATCTGATTATGACAGGGTCCATCTCGTCAGAAAATGCTCCTCACTAGCTATGCAAGCATCCGCCGCCTGGCGAGCTTTCGGGCGGAAGGCGGATCGTGTGTGTAAGCCACTGCGCCGTGAGCTGCCGGATTGGTCTTAGAATCGGCTTTTCAAGACTCAAACGGACTCACGGAGCGCGGACTAAATGTGGGTGTAGGCAAGCAAGGTGGATTCGGGTAGGCTAACGAATAACTGGAAAGAAAGGGATGTTAGACGGCTGAGTGCCAAGCTGGGAAGACGCTAAAACGTCAACGAGAGACATTAGGAGGCCAGGCTCTCACGATCCTCGCCTTGAGAGATTGGTCCTACGGGCCTCGATACGTTGCCTCCTTGTCTCAGCTTAGACCAGGTTGACCCGCTCAGCCTGTCTGTCACCTGTTCCCGGACTTCCTGGCGGCTGAGGAATGTTTTCGGATCTATCATTTCCTATTTCATAGCGTGAAAGCCTGACATGACCGACCACCCGACCAAGTTGGGAATTCCTGAGACAGAAATGTGCCAAAACAACCATCGTACTTTTACTCAAGTGAGCACAGTTTTTTGGTCTCATTATTTTGCCCGATAACCCGACGATTGGGTAGAGACCCGTTGCGCCGGGGTGTTCAAGCTGTGCCTCCGCACCGGAAGTGGGGAAGTGGAACCAGCGGCCGGCCGAGTCGGAGACGTAAGTGGATCTCACGGGACGGAGGCAGGTGCCAAGTGCGGTGGGCGTTTGCCAACTCTCCCACCTGTCTTGCAAACTTTGGGCCTATTTTTTGACTCACGGACCTGACGGTGAGGCTTGAGCTTGAAGATTCTTGCCTCCCCCTTGTGCCTCATCCGTCAACACCACGCCATCCCACTCGACTAGCCAAAGTAATGGATATGGTGAACGGCGAACGCTTAAATGGACTACGTGACTGCATACACCTCGTGGCTCTTCAGTAAGATCACGAGACCGACTAGTTTAGGGTTTTTATGGGTACTTCCAGCCTGCGGTTCGCTGTAACTGATAAAGCAAAGTCAAGCCATCATGCATGGTCGATGACTTAGCCGGCAGCGAACGCCAACCTAATGTGCTGTCAGAGGGTGGGGGTGTATTCACCCGTTGCGTCGGTGGGGGCTGAGATTATCAGGTCGATCTCCTGGTTTCAGCCCCTACCTGGAAACTATGATGGCAGGCTGACTCTGGTATTTAGTTGCATTTGAAACTGCCATGATCGCCTTGGCTAGACGTCAGACCAACGACCAAGTTGTGTCACAATACGTACATGTTCTTTCCTGATTCGAGCAGCGATTATAAGGGAACATGACTCGTCACTCTTTTTGTTAAATGGGAGAATCACCTCCACCCGAAGAGTGAAGAACAACCCGGGCCGCTCATGTCTTTTCGGTCCAGTTGATATGTTTGACTTGCTAAGACACGGGCCGCGAGAGCTCAAATGAATCAAACGGGTGAACGCAATCTAGAGCGAGCTATCGCAGGTCCTCTTCGTGACTTTGGAATGCCGTGTCGCGGCCCGAATTATTCTCCAACCTGAGATTCTCGGGCCTTGTGATATGCGATACGCGATTGATCACTGCTTGTAATCTTCTTCTCAATGAACACCAACATTGCCTCTGCTATTTTGTTCCTTCACCCTGGAAGTGCAATATCGCCGACTAGTTCTTAAGGGGAAAGCCGCCGTCTTCTTCGACCGTCTATTTTGTCAGCAGTGTTTTCCACTTTCTTTCTAGTATTCAGCCTGTTACTATATTTCCCTCGCTTGGACCTGTTGTCTTATGCTCTTGATCACTTGCGGCTAAGGTCTTCTCACCTTGTTGTTGTCATATCATCTATCCCGGCATACCCAGGGACTCTACGTGAGATTACAGGTTGCGAATCATATGTGGCGATATGAGTGTATAGTCGCGTTCATAAAGACCTGTAACCCATCGTAGGGAGGAGAGTAACGCGCCAGACGGTCCAGTCTTACTTGTGAGTAACGTTACCCGTCATCTCCGAAAGGCCTGACTTTTAACCTTTTTCTAGAGGCACTGCAAGCATGGCTGAATTCAACCCCTTCGACCAAATTCTCGTGCTGAAGACGTCCCTCAATACGGCCGAGGACACAGATTTGACCGTGAGCCCGATGATGATCGACGGCCTCTACAAGCAAGACATTGGCACATGCGCCAACTACAGCTCCCAAATCGGTGCGAGTTTCATGATGCTACCGATCGTCATTTCCTTGACGCCTTCGATGAGGCTTTTCAAGGCTTCCCTCTGTGTTCACGTTGCTGCTCTCGTTGTTAACACAGTCCGCATGACGCTACTAGTACCATTCTTTACATCGCCCAACTGGGCCAACTTTTACACCCGCTTTGCATCGGACTATTCCCGCGTCACTGCAGCTGACTTCCATCTGAGCATCACGACGGAAGCGACTTCGCTGGTCTTGCATATGCTTATCCAGGTGTCATTGGGAATACAGGCGTGGGCTCTTGTTAAGCTGTTGCCAAGGCCCTGGAAAGGGGGCGTTGTTGTGCTGTCTTGCTTCGTGTCAGCATCTGCCATAGGACTACGTCTCGGGCTCTGCATCATCCACATCAATGCCATCCTTATGCTGTCACCCGCACATCTCATATGGGTGGCGCAAGGTAGCGGCGTTGTCGGAGCAATCTCTATTGCATACTACTGCGCACTGTTCAACATCAAGCTTCTCATACACCTTGTAAAGAACCGGGGCATTCTCCCAAGGCGGCAACGACTGAATGCGATGGAAGTACTAATCATTACGAACGGAATTCTGATGGTCATACCTGGTTCGTGGACTCGTGCAACACTTTACTCGCAAATTTTTGCTGATCTGATTTTGGTCCCCACGTAGTCGTCTTCGCTGCCATGAGTTGGGGCTCCTTGTCAACCCTCGAATTAGGCTCGTTGACTTACACGTCGGTCGTCGTTTTTCTACCTCTAGGAACCTTGATCGCTTCCCGCGCCTTGGCAAATAAGTCGCGAGGAAAATCGCAGCCAAGCTTGTGTACTGTAAATTCGGATATACCCCCGAAGGCATCTCCAACCATTGGATTACGGCCTCATATACATGGGGACGTGGGCAGTGCCGTTACATCGCATATAGAGTCCAGTCATCCCCGCCAACGCGATCAGACTGGCGGCATTGATCTGATCGACATCGAGTTGCAACGAATCGACGGAGACGATCTCTAGAAGGGATTCATCAGAGTGAACCGAAAGGTGGAATCCTGTGAAGAGCGCGTCTCAGCCATACGGTAAGCTTATGTGGTGTCTGTCTTGGCAAGAAAAAGGCGCATGGAATACGTGGGCTTGCCTTACTAGGGCCACTTGAATTAGGTACCCGCTCAATGCCCACTTTCCAGTTGCTTTATACCTCACTTGTGGCATTCCAATTACATCCATAATCGTCTCATCACAGAAAATGAGTTCATGCCCAGCCAGGGCCTAGGCTTGTTCTGAGCTACGCCTCCTTGACCCCAGAAGACGCCTCCACGTCGTATGCAGGTAACATGCAGAGTGTTCTTGACTTATTGAAATGCTTGTATAGCACTTCAAAGACGTGAGCTGGGCGTGTGTCGGAGCCAAACTTATTTGCTTCTGTCCGCCTCATCACCGAGTGACACCCAAAGGACTAAGAAGCTTCAAGCACCTCTGGGTAACAGCGCATTCCATACGCCCAATACCCTCGCCAAATCCCCAAAACGGTCATAGTTATCTAATTATGTAGCCTCGTAAGAAGCTCTCAGGTTTACATAAGGCACCTTCCGATCTGATTCGCACTACCCGAGTCAAATGGAAGGCGCGGTTGTATCATCCAAGGAAGGAACCATGAGAAGACTGTAAGAAATCCAAGGTCCTCCTGCCTCATATCAGACTTGACTATTATGCCGTAGGAAGAAGGAGTCTACCGATGCAAATAGACAGGGAGCGAATATCCCGCCAGAGCAAGTACGTGGACAAAAGGACGTATCCAGCGTCTGAATGCTGTCGCCCCAACATCCAATTCTTTGATTTTGCTTCCAAAACAATCTTCTCCGTTCCAAATTACACAATTTCTTAGCCCTTATGTGGTGAGAATATTGCCTTGTTGTTCTGTGCTGCACAAATCGTCGTCGTCCTCCTCACAAATGCGCTCCGATGGAGAGCCATCTGCCGTTGTCACCTACCCAAGCACGATACTCGCCGTCAAGGGACTTTGTACGAGACGACATGAAGCCCGCACCTCTTCGACTCTCCCCAAAGACCAAAGAGACAGATGAGATTCCAGATGTTCCACTACAACCAGGTGCAAGTTCCATTAAGAACGCAACACATACCGATGGCTCCACTCCGACTGAACGAGCCACCGGTCAACTGTCTAACCATCCAACAGAGCTGAAGAACCCGCCCCTGGCTGCCATCTTATCAAAGTTCGAGATACTCGACGTCATGACCGATCTTGAGACACAAGCTACCACTGGCCATGGACCATCGAACATAGAAGTACCTCGTTCGCCGGCCAACAACAGCACCGTACGTAAGGATTTAGGTGTATGTGTCAATTCTGGCCTTGCAAAGGAACCTCCTCCTCGACTGGTTCATGACGACGTTGTTGAACGGCAGTCGACCCCAAGCTTGAGTAAAACCTCCCTCCATAATATTTCGTTACGCGGATCCCAGATTTATTCAGAGACTGGGATACAAGCAGCGGTAGAACCCACAACATACGTCTTCGATCCATTCACTGGAGAGAGGCGGCCCAATAAAGCCGGAAGATCAGCCGATGGAAGACAGAAAAGTCTTGTAGCTGAAAGACGACAAATGTTCGAAGCTCCAATGGGTAAGTACGTTCCCCGAAGTGATGTTGGTCTGCCCGGGATGCTGATAATGTGTGTAGGTGGCGTTAGTGCTATGCCTGGGCAATCGGTTAGCCTGCCGTTGCCACCTTTCAGCAACAACAATTTCTTGCCACAAACAACGACGCCATATTGTACACTTCCCCATACAAACACCTGGAAGAAGAGGCCAAACGACATCGAAGCACCTCAAAGTAGCTCTCGAGCAGAGCCACTTTTGGACCCGAGGTCTGTCAACGACGGTGACCAAACGAAAGCGGCAGGGAGAAACACTTGGACCCGGAGCATATCAAAGAGCCTCGGATATAGCGCTAGTCAAAGAGTCATCACTGGCATCAGAAGACAGAGAGGTAGAGGGAAGCTCTTCGGGCTTTGGCCCCGAGCCATGGATGTCCTCCATTCACGAGAAGCTTCAACCTCGGAATCGGGATACGAAAGTCTCAAAGCCCCAGACCGGTCAACGAGCCAGGTAGCTCCCGATATCTCCAATTCCGTAAGTAAGAAGAGTGCGAGGTCATCGAATCTGCAAACAGAATATTATAAATCCCAGGAGGAGCCACAGTCGGGACACGCAACTTCCATGACAGCGCTATCTGAGCCATCCAGTAATGCTGCTATCATGACGGCGCAAAACAAGGTGGCAAGTCTGAGAAGGTTGTTCGACAAAAGCGCGAACGATGCTGGCCAGAAAAGCGGTTCGCAACTAAGGCGCAGTGATACTGGGCCAACAGATAAGGTGTCGCCTCACAGTAATTCACTGACGGTCTTTCAGTCTGGCCACGAACAACAACTGCAATGTGAACTGTCCATGGATGGTGCTATACGCCGTTCTTTCCAAGCGGCGGCGGACGCCAATGCACCCAAAGGATCAACTTCTTCTTCTTTGAAGGATCGAATAAATACCCTTGAAACCATCTGCCAGATCGATGCAGAGACGACTTCCTCAACCAATAAAAGTATCTCGGCATCACGATCGACTATTCCTAGAATAGAGCGCGTGGCAGATGGTTCAAGAAGCCATGTTGAGAATCGACTCGAAAGCCTGGGATTCAACCGGGGTCGCGAAGCATGGCGGAAGATATCCGCATCATGGGAGAAAGGCAGGTCAGAAGAGGGCAAGAGAAACGGAACTGACCACACAAAGCAGATATTAGACAAGTCACAAGAGCAACGTACCTGGCAAGGATCCTACCTGACTACTGTTCGACCAGATGACACACAGCTAGCCGACTGCTCGCCGGATGAGCCCAACACTGGAGGCCCGCCTGCGTCTACGTCTGCGCCGACGAGGGTCAGCCCCTTCCCAGCTCGAAAGAGCACGTCGGCTATTCCACGGGAGTGTCTGAGCACCGGTACTAATCTTGACGGCTGTCCAGAGGAACCAAAGCGAGCCTTGCCGCTCAGTACCACTGGTCCAGTCGGCACTTCGAACTGGTGGCAATTTGGGTCGGCATCCTCCCAGGCAGATTGGAGGACCAGGTGGGACGCTCTGTCAGGAGATGCTCATGGAATTAGCTGGGGTCGATGGCGCGCACCACGAGAGAGAGGACTGATGACAGCCGGTGCCGAATGTCCAATGCACCATACTCGGCCATCGCCTACCGTACGACTGGGTGAAATGCACGAAGCTGCCAATCGCCAGACTGAGACGAGGAAACCAACGTTGGACGGCTAGCTAGTAGTGTTCTTTAGTGATGCCTTGGCATAGAGCAGGTTATCATTTGTAGTGTGCCGGCTGGAGAGACCTGGGGGATGAAGGCCGCAAGGCTATGTAATTTGGAACTGGGAAATGGCCAGCCAAGGGATCGCCGGGCACATAAAGAATAGTCTCGATAATCTTGGTCTGCCAAAGTACTTGGCGTACTGAAGCCTCATAATATTAGAGCGTTACGAGTCTACTCGACTACGCTGTTAGCCCCATCCCCTTTCCAATTTTGCGAACCAGAGCTTTCTTGAGATACCACTCCCGAGCAAGGGAACGAGTCGTCTTAGCAAATACTGCGGGTGATATCCTTCCGCGTTCCACGGCTCGGCCCAAGACAAAAATGGTGTCCCCGATGGCCTTCTCTTCAGCCACCAAAGCGTATAACTGGTTGGCGACGACTGTGGGCGCTACCAGAAGCTCGTCAATGTCAGGCGCAGTTTGCCGTGTTGATCCCTCTATAACAGAGTCGGCCTTTCGCAGCGCGTCGACTAGAATATTAGCGTTGGACTGAAGCAACCCTGACGTTTGATTAAGTGTCCCCGTCTCCGACTGAAGTGTCGAGAAGGCAGATATCATAGCTGTACGTTGCGCCTGCAAGCCTGCCATGCTGGAGTCATTCTGCTGTCTGCTACGTTGGCGAAGGGAGTGAAGCGTTTGTGCCAGTTGGTGAAGTAAAGCGTCTTTTTCCGGGTTCGGAGGAATCGGCGGCGCGGGAACGGATGATGGCGAAGGTATGCTTAGAGTGAGAGGTTCATCAAGCAGATCTGGCGGCGGCACAGGCTTTGTAACCTGCTGTTGTGACGGCGGGTGCTGCTGTAGTTGATGCGGTGGAGGTGGTCCTTGATACTGCCCGGCTGGTTGCCAACCTGGAGGTGGTCCTCCATATTGTTGAGACGGTTGCTGGAAAGGCGGAAGGACGGCCGAATGACGGGGAGTAACAGATTGAGGAGGATGTCCCGCATGGAATTGCTGTTGTTGTGCAGTGTCTCCAGTATGGTGTGGAGACGAGACGGGCGGCGGCGGCTGTGGATGAGAGGATGGCACGAGTGGTAGCGGCGGTGCCGAGTCGTAGCGAGAGGTCGCTTGGCTTTGTGGACGATGCGACATTTGGGTATTGTAGTCTCCGTGAATGCTTTGACGAGCGGCGCCAGGGGGTAGAGGTGGGAGAGGGGGGCCATGTCTGGCATCTGTTGGCGGTGGCGGGCCTATGTATGGTTCGGTGCCTGATGTTTTGGGCGGCGGAGGCGGAGGCCGCGACGCATCTGTAGGTGTTTGCGTAGGCGGACGGCTTGACGGACGAGCTGCCAACTCATGTGGAAGAGGCGGGATAGGGGGTGGTGTTGGGGCGTGGGACTGCGGTGGGCGTGATGCCGCGGGGGGTGATGGTTGCTGTGAGCCTTGTGGCCGAGCAATAACTGGTGGCTCCTTGGCGAAGATATCTCTCAAGATGGCCAGGAAGTCGAGAAGCGTGGATTTCTAGCAGGCTAACCGTCAGAACGAGTGAAAAACCAACAAAGCTCAGGGCTAGTGAAGAGAATGAAGACATACATCCCAGAAGGCGGCCCAGCCTACGAGATATGGATGATAGACCTGGCCCTGAGGATCTACGTGCTGACCAGGGCGCACCATCATGGACTCTGTTGGAGTGACATAGACCAACGGAGCTTCTCTTGGGTAGGCATGAGGAACCCAGACGGATATAGGGAAGCGGTACGTGGTGCCTCTGAATATGACGGGTATAGTGCCAGATAGGCGGAGAAGAAGGGCTGACGAGCCATTATCGTAAGCTGTGAACGGTATCAGCACGCATTCAGTAAGGACTCGTGGTTGCGATCGAGGAACCATACTATGAACGTCGGTGCGCGGTGACAGAGATGGGTAGTGGGAGAGCGCCTGGGCTACATCGTTGTAGGTGCGGTTCACATCGTGGTATTCCTGAGAGAGGGTTGCGCATCAGTCAAGCACTGCAGGGCCAAGAGTTGAAGATAACATACACTTGTCAAGATACTGTAAAGCCAGTTCAGGACATGTTGCGGCACTGGCATCGCAGAGACGGAGCGAGAGCTCGGGCACGGGGGAGCCGATACGGAGCTCGGGCAGGAGGTGAGTGGAGGTGAAAGCGGATGCTCGAGCTGCGAGCGGGGGAACAGCGACGCGGATTCAACTCATAAGTGCATGCCGGGGACCCTAGGAGTAGAGTAGGGTATGATGCTACGGCGGTGTTTAGCAATGGTCCGAAGTAAGAATCGGCACAATCGATTAGGCGCTCGGTAACGAGAGACGTCGGGCGACGGAAGCGGACGGCGCCGGTGATAGATGTCGCGGACAACTTGTAACGGTGGAATCGTAACTAGTGGAGGTAGGTAGATAGTTCGGACATCGGGGGGGTTGGACGCCAGTGGTGGGTGGATGGCAGATCTGAGATGACGCACCTAAGCTTGGGTGGGAAAGGTGGGGCCGCTGTGAAGGTCTCCCCGCCGCCGGAGTTAAATTCCATTGCACCTACATTGCTCCGTACCTTGTGGTAACTTTCAAGAGGCACTCATCCTGGTGACCGATTCTGGAGATAACTAAGTACGGTAGGCATGGTTAACCGGAAGTCGCCATTCATCACTAAACTCAAATACCAATGGTTAATCATCATCATGTTCCATTATCTTCATTACAGCTAGGCAACCCGAAATGCTTCAATCGGGAAACATGACATCCTGTATCTTTGCTTCCTTCGGGGTAATTCAAGAGATCCATGGCTGCGCCGAGCGTGCCTTGGATGGAAGCACAAGGTGTCAGGGTTTGTACAAAAGCCCTGATTATCAACATCAAGATAGCGAGTTGAGTTGATGACGGCAAGAAGCAGTAAGGCAAATCTGAAGAGTGTAATATTTTCCACGTCGCGACGTAACCTTCTGATCGATGGCCGATTGTCGCCGGCATCGGACCCACACGGCCGTTGATGTTTTCAATTGTTTTCATGGTGTGAAAGTTGGCAGGATGAAAACCCGGCCGAGCACGGAGCGGGTTCGTAGGTAATCCAATGCTGGCAACTTGCTTGCCTAACATGTTTCGGGTTGGTCGGGTCCAGCTTCAGTTCCTTTTGACATTCGTTTTAGCACGCTTTGTAATCTTGGGTTCCTCCTGGTCTAGGTTGCTTGCTTTGTCAACCTAACGCTCCAAAGCCACCTACTTGCCTAGGTATGTCAAGAAGCCGTGGACTGTGGTAGCATTTCAGCCTCTCAATACAAATCGCGTTGTTACGATAAATCCCGACAATCGTCTTCGGCTTCCCGGATGCTTTACTTCGTCGATACATCGGCTTGGTGGCGCCACAATCATTTTGAAGGTATTGGATCATTGGATGTCATGTTCACTCATATGGTGCCACTTGCTCGGGGTACGTGCCCCGCTAACCCATTACATGTACCGACCATGTTTCGCATTGGGCGCTTTAACCGCTCCAAGGAGGCGGCACAAACACTTGACTCTGAGGTACTAACAGAGCACCATAGTTCCCTAGTCTGGCATCAGTACTCTCCGCCGACACATTTCTTCACCTGCAAAGAAGAAAAATTGTCTCGGGGGGAGACCCTGGAACCCATTTCGCCTGTCCAATCCCACATAGCCGATGGGGACCGCTGCGCGCATTAAATAAAACCACCGGCACACTCACACACCCCTCCCGCTGGAGGAACCTACAACTCTTGTTTCTTTTCGCGGTCGACATTGGTTTTTGGAAACTAACAACAACTTGGAAGTGCTTCCGCTCAGCTCTCACATTACGTTGAATGCTTGCTGTTCCAAGGATCCTTCGCACGGCTGAGGAGTATTCCAGCAAATTCTGGATACTCCTTGCGTCAGGACCTTTTTGAACACTGTCTACTACCTCACTGAACCGCACTCACATCTCTCAGAACCACAACCATCTATTGGAGCATTGCGAATCTCTTGACACTTCTGAACTGTCAGCAACTCGCTCGACCACACTCGGAAACCTATTTCACTTGCAGCAGAGGCAAACTTAAGACATAGCTTAGGCAACGTTCAACTATGCTACCTCCCATTCCCGAGCTCTCCGACTATGGAATATCTGCAACCCACGGATTCCTGCCGGACGTTCTCCCCTTGACGCGATTGCCGGATCCCTACTATAACAAGTGGGAGGCCATTGTCGCCAATCTACAGGCACTCGTTCTCAGCCGCCGCCTTCGTCCGGTTGTCGACCGCTTGCCTGTTCTCTCCACCATCGGTCTGGAACACGACGCAGAATGGCGGAGAGCCTACTCTTTGTTGTCTTTCATGGCTCATGCTTACATCTGGGGCGGCGATGAGCCTTGCGATCAGCTACCGCCCTCTATCACCGTTCCCTTCCTAAAGGTCTCGGATCATCTCGAGCTGCCCCCGGTCGCTACATACGCCGCATTGTGTCTTTGGAACTTCAAGCCTCTTTTTGTCGACGAGGACATTGACAACCTCGAGAACCTCGCTACTCTCAACACCTTTACTGGTTCTCTTGACGAGTCATGGTTCTACCTCGTCTCTGTCGCTATTGAGGCCCGTGGCGGTCCCATCATCCCCCTCATGCTGGGCGCTGTTGCTGCTGCTCGCCAAGGAGATGTCTCAACCGTCACCCGGAGCTTGCGCACCTTTGCCGAGCGTCTGACTGATCTGACCATCATCTTGCAGCGCATGCACGAGAGTTGTGATCCCAACATCTTCTACAATCGCATCCGCACCTTTCTTGCTGGGAGCAAGAACATGGCTGAGGCCGGTCTCCCTGACGGGGTCAACTATGACAATGGTTCCGGAAAGGAGGACTACCGCCAGTACAGCGGCGGTAGCAATGCTCAGAGCAGTCTGATACAATTTTTCGATGTCATCCTTGGCATTGATCACCGTCCGACAGGCGAGAAGCGGGATCCCTCAACCGAGTCGGAGCGCGAATCTCGGGCTCCGGTTCCGAAGCACAACTTCATCATGGAGATGCGCCGGTACATGCCTGGACCCCATGCTCGCTTCCTCAAGGATATCTCTGGCGTTGCCAACATCCGCGAGTTTGTCGAGACTCATAAGCACGAACGCGATTTGTGCCTTGCCTATGATGCCTGTCTCGCAATGCTCAGTGCATTCCGCGATAAGCACATAGCCATCGTCACCCGCTATATCATCCTCCCTTCGCGCGAAGTGCGTGCCCGCAGCAGGTCGAGAAGTCCTGAGGCTGCGCGCTTGCGTCTCAATTTGGCTACGGCTTCGCGCCAACGCCAGTCCAACGCCCAGGGTAACAACTTGCCGGCTGCCGACGGCAAGAAGAACTTGAAGGGTACAGGTGGTACTGCTCTCATCCCGTTCTTGAAACAGGCGCGCGATGAGACCGGTGAGCCGGCGATCGAAGAGTGGACCCGCCGCTTCATGCGCAGAACTGTCAAGTCTGAGGGCAGTGGCGATTTCTTCTTGGGTAAACCGGACCAGCCTAGCCACGGCGTTGAAGTTGGAGTCGGAGGCTTGGCGGGATCCTGGACCATCGACGACGACTTCGGTGGCATCTGCCATTACTGATGCAGATATCAGGGTTGCTGGATAGATGTAGATGTCTGCGCTACTGGAGTGAAACCCAACGCGCAACACATTCCTCGAAGCATGTCTAGAGACATTTGGGAAGTCAGTCTATAGCTACTAGATGGGCAGCAATTGATTCCTCGATACTTTGACACCCGTACTGACGGCCTACTTAGCTTATAACTAGAGTGGTCTTCATGTTTGATGGTTGCATGCTTCGGTGGCCTGGTGACGGCTATCAAATGAAACTGGATGTTAGCCCTTGGCCGCCATGTTGACTGATGGCAAGCTATTTATGCGAACCCGCTCCTTCATGAGTAATTGTCTCTTGTGCCTACCTATCGGACTGAAGCGTCCCATATCAGCCCTATTGGTGTTCCTGCCATGACAGGTGAGAGGGAAACATCTTCTAGCCTCCGCCACTTGATACCTACGGAAGGAGCTGTTGTGGGGCCTCCTGTCAGGTCAACCGTAAACCGTAGGTACAGATGAATACCTTAAGAAGTTACTCCGTACCTCAGGCATACCGCACGAGTGTGGAAAGACGCACTAACTCCAAAAGGGGTTAGTCTTTTGCCCCCTGCCGCGTTCTGACTTGAGCCTCTCAAACCCGTCTCTCGCGCCTGCTGCCTCTGAGATCGTATTTTCGAGAGAGGAAAAAACCACCACTCAACGAGGTTGGTCATTTGCATCGGCCGCACACCATTGCATTACCCACACGTCACAAATTGAATCAGTATCGCGCTGCGCAGTCGCTTTTTCAATCTTGCGCCTGGCCTTGTTTCTCTTTTCATGCCCCAACCGAGCTGAAGAGGCAAACTCGCCTGTGTTCTGCGTCGTGATTGTTAATCACCACGGAACCCAACTCTTACCGCGACTCGCCGCTCCTTTGCCCGCCGAACGCTGCCTCGAACCTCGATCGCTCCCATACTCGACTCCCGGCCGTACCACTGCAGGTAATTGCAAGGTCGACTCCTGCTTACTCGACCTGTTTCCTGTCTGCCCTCTATCATCGCACGCGCAGGTGCCAACGTCTCTGAAATGGCCGACTACGATGACTACGACTACGATGGGTACGTCGAAGAAGACGACACCAGCATCACGCCCGAAGACTGCTGGACCGTCATCTCTTCCTTCTTCGAGTCCAAGGGTCTGGTTTCTCAGCAGGTCGATTCCTTCGACGAATTCACCTCTTCAACCGTCCAGGAGCTCATCGACGAGTATTCCCAAATCACCCTAGACCAGCCGAACCCTATGTCAGACAGTGACAAGGTCATCGCCCTCCGTCGATACGAAGTCAAGTTTGGCACTGTCATGGTCTCCCGTCCATCCATCACCGAAGCTGATGGTAAAGTCACAACGTTACTTCCATACGAATGCCGCGACCGAAACCTCACTTACGCGAGTCCCCTCTACGTTAAGATCACCAAGAAGGTCTCGATTGCGGTAGAGAAACCAGTTCCGCTGAATGAGCTCGACGAGGAACAGCAGGACGAACTTGCAAATACTGGCGAGCACCCTACTAAGTTGGAGTGGGAAGAAGAGGAGAGCGGCGAAGACTATGGCGCCGACAAGAATAAGTCCGACGACATGAAGGACATGATTTTCATCGGTCGTATGCCCATTATGGTCAAGTCCAAGATTTGCCACTTGAGTAGCGAGCAGGAGGATGACTTGTTTATGCTGAACGAGTGTCCTTACGACCAAGGAGGCTACTTCATCATCAACGGCAGTGAAAAGGTCCTTATTGCTCAAGAGCGATCGGCCGCCAACATCGTTCAGGTCTTCAAAAAAGCACAGCCGAGTCCATACTCTTACACAGCTGAGATCCGCAGCGCCCTCGAAAAGGGCTCTCGACTCATTTCATCCATGATGCTGAAGCTGTACAGCAAGGGCGACGCAGCAAAGGGCGGGTACGGCCAGACTATCCACTGCAGTCTGCCGTATGTCAAGGCCGATCTGCCAATTGCCATCGTTTTCCGAGCGCTGGGCGTGGTATCCGACGAGGATATCCTCAATCATATTTGCTACGACCGAAATGATAGCCAGATGCTCGAGATGTTGCGGCCATGTATCGAGGAAGCTTTCTGTATCCAAGACAGAGAGGTTGCCCTTGATTTTATCGGCAAGCGTGGCAGCAACCACAACATCCCCAGAGAAAAGCGTGTGAGGACCGCCAAAGACATTCTTCAAAAAGAAACTTTGCCGCATATCTCCCAGAGTGAAGGCAGTGAGACAAGAAAAGCATTTTTCTTGGGATACATGGTTCACAAGCTGCTTCAATGCGCCTTGGGCCGTCGCGATACCGATGATCGTGATCATTTTGGCAAAAAGCGCCTTGATCTCGCCGGTCCTCTTCTCGCTAAGCTATTCCGCAACATCGTCCGCCGCATGAACCAGGAATTGTCTGGTCATCTCAAGCGCTGTGTCGAGTCGAACCGGCAATTCAGTCTCACTCTCGGTGTGAAGCCGCAGACTCTTTCCAACGGATTGAAGTACTCTTTGGCGACTGGCAACTGGGGAGACCAGAAGAAGGCCGCGAGCTCGACGGCAGGTGTGTCCCAGGTGTTGAATCGCTACACTTTTGCGTCTACACTATCCCATCTTCGTCGCACAAATACGCCCATCGGTCGTGACGGCAAGCTGGCAAAGCCCCGACAACTTCACAACACGCATTGGGGTTTGGTTTGCCCGGCTGAGACGCCAGAAGGTCAAGCCTGTGGTCTCGTCAAGAACCTATCTCTCATGTGTTATGTCAGTGTCGGTACGCCTGCAGAGCCCATCATCGACTACATGATCCAGCGAGGCATGGAGGTCCTCGAAGAGTATGAGCCACTGAGATATCCCAACGCCACTAAGGTCTTCCTGAATGGTGTCTGGGTCGGTGTGCATCAAGACCCAAGAATTTTGGTTCCCGACGTCCAGGGCACCCGTCGGCGAAACGTTATCTCCCACGAAGTGTCGCTTGTCCGTGATATCAGAGACCGCGAGTTCAAGATCTTTTCCGACGCCGGCAGAGTCATGAGACCTGTTTTTGTCGTGGAGCAAGGTACCAACGGCATAGTAGCCCAGGGATCGCTCGTGCTGCAAAAGGCAACGGTCAACGAAATGCGCGAGCAGCAGGAGAACCCGCCAGACAATCCGGCTGACAAAATCACTTGGGAGTCTCTTGCCCACAGCGGAGTCATAGAATATCTCGATGCTGAGGAGGAAGAGACAGCCATGATTTGCATGACGCCCGAAGATCTGGAAATTTACAGATTGCAGAAGCAAGGTCAAGTGGTCGAGGACAACACCGATGGCCCCAACAGCCGTCTGAAGACTAAGATCAATCCCACAACACACATGTACACTCACTGCGAAATCCACCCCAGTATGCTCCTGGGAATTTGCGCTAGCATCATTCCCTTCCCCGATCACAATCAGGTATGTAATTTTTTGGGTTTCACTTGACGATCAAGCCCTCGCTAATTCCTTTCATAGTCACCTCGCAATACCTACCAGTCCGCCATGGGCAAGCAAGCCATGGGCTTCTTCCTGACAAACTACTCGCGCAGGATGGACACGATGGCCAACATTCTCTACTACCCTCAGAAGCCACTTGCTACCACTCGGTCCATGGAATTCCTCAAGTTCAGAGAGCTTCCAGCCGGACAGAACGCCATCGTGGCTATTGCCTGTTACTCTGGTTACAATCAGGAAGATTCCGTTATTATGAACCAGAGCAGCATCGACCGTGGCCTCTTCAGAAGTCTGTTCTTCAGATCGTACACTGATTGCGAGAAGCGCGTGGGTATCAATCTTGTTGAGCAGTTCGAGAAGCCGTTCAGAAGCGATACCTTGCGCTTGAAGCATGGCACCTACGACAAGCTTGACGACGACGGCATTGTGGCACCGGGAGTCCGTGTCTCGGGTGAAGATATCATCATCGGAAAGACGTCGCCCATTAGCCCGGACAACGCTGAGATGGGCCAACGAACGGCGCAGCATGTCAAGCGCGATGCCTCTACCCCACTTAGAAGTACCGAAAACGGTATTGTCGACCAGGTCATCGTGACGACCAACCAAGACGGCCTCCGTTACGTCAAAGTTCGTGTCAGAACAACCAAGATTCCACAAATTGGAGACAAATTTGCTTCACGTCACGGCCAAAAGGGCACCATTGGTGTCACTTATCGGCAGGAAGACATGCCCTTTACTGGCGAGGGTATCACGCCGGACATCATCATCAATCCTCACGCCATTCCGTCTCGTATGACCATTGCTCACTTGATCGAGTGTTTACTCAGCAAAGTCTCAACATTGAAGGGTATGGAGGGCGACGCTACCCCTTTCACAGATGTGACTGTCGACTCAGTCTCGCAGCTCCTTCGAGATCAAGGTTATCAATCGAGAGGATTCGAGATCATGTACAATGGTCACACTGGCAGGAAGCTGCGAGCACAAGTCTTCTTTGGACCGACTTACTACCAGCGTTTGCGCCACATGGTGGACGACAAGATTCACGCTCGTGCGCGTGGACCTGTTCAGATCATGACCAGACAACCTGTGGAGGGTCGTGCTCGTGATGGAGGTCTTCGTTTCGGAGAGATGGAGCGTGATTGCATGATTGCTCATGGCGCAGCATCTTTCCTCAAGGAGAGACTTTTCGAGGTCTCGGATGCTTTCCGAGTTCACGTTTGCGAAATTTGCGGCTTGATGACGCCTATCGCGTAAGTATCCCTTGGTCCAACTATTTCACTGAGAGCAAGCAGCGCTGACTTGATACCAGAAACCTGTCGAAGCAATCGTTTGAGTGTCGACCGTGCAAGAACAAAACGAAGATTGCACAAATCCACATTCCTTACGCAGCTAAGCTTCTGTTCCAGGAGCTGCAGTCAATGAACATCGCCGCCCGCATGTTTACCAACAGGTCCGGAGTCTCCATCCGATAAAGAGACTAGCTGCGGGATGGGGAAAAACGGAAAATGGGTTGTCGAGCTGGAGTCTCGGGTCATGGAGGTGGTCTGCGAGACGAGAATAGGTGAGCAGGCAGGCAGGGAGTATTGGGAGGTGATTGGTTTTATTTGGCGTCTTCGAGGCTGGGGAACTATATTCTGGCCACCCAATTCACTCACATCTTTGGGCGAGCCATCCATAGAAAGATTGGCAGATGACGCCTCCATGTGTCTTGTATTAATGACATGTACCATTTAAACATTGATAAAGAAAATAAGAATCGATGAGGAAAGACAGAAACGGTGTACCCGGCCACTTAAGAAAGGCTTTTTTTTTTTTTAGCATATTACTGCAATGCTCTCCGGGCCAGTTGGGGCGGATACTAAGAAATCGCCATCCCCGGCTTTGTAACTGGTAATTGAAAAGTTCGGGAAGCAGCGTCTTCCGTTCTCTGAGCCTTGTTCCTGACGCATATGAATACGCTAATCTTCGCGAACGGTACCGCAGTAGCATTCTTCTTCATGTGTGGCGATTACCTTACCTCGAATGTGATGCAATGCCCCTCTCTCGTATCATGCCATTTCTACAGCTTTTTCAATCCTCTCCTGTGGGAGGAATCCACAGGGTATTATACGTCGTTTGCTAGGTCCTCTATTCCCCTTATCGTACAGATGCGCCGTATGGTCTTGTTCGCCTTCGATCCAGTCCTGTCTTCGTGTTGCCCAGTTGTGGTCCGGCTACAAACAAGACAAGACACTGGCCACAGGTCATGTCTGTATGCCACTTGCGCTATGTTGTGAGGGCGCCGTCGCATCTTTGACGGTCTGCTCCCGCTTATACTCCTCCTCGAGAGCGCGCTGCATGTCGAAGTCGAGTTGGCGCTCTCGTTTGATGCGCTGCTGTTCGATGTCGCGTACGACTCCTTGATGCATGGCCTAGGTAGTCTCGTTTAGATGCAACTTCCTACAAGAGCGTTGGTATTCCAAGGTAGAACATGCCTCTTTCTCAAACTTTTGTTGGAAATGGACAACGACAATGGTACTAGCGGCGAATAGCGATGTCGCGGCCAGCGTGAGCTTCGATGCCCTGGACATTATTGGAAGATGATGGTTGGACGTGTCGGTGATGTGTAGAAGCGAATGATATGCGTGGCTCGAGCAGAAGAATCTCAAAGTCTGTTGGTTGGTGTTGATGGCTCGATTTCGGTGTTTGAATCTCTCTCCCCGAGAACGACAGCATCCGCAGCGTCGGTGTCGGTTGATTTGGTTCTCGATTCGACCGCAGATATCCGTAAAACAAGGACCAATGAATGCCGTTACGTACCTGGTGGTCTCAAGAATCTACCGCAAGTTCACGCATTTACCAACCTTAACACCTACCTTGCAGACCACCCCAGGCACCTCAATTCATAAGAGCGGACCTCAAATTAGTGCAAAATGCTGGGAATGCCTGAGGTGGATGCCTCACTTATGTCCGCCACCGCCCCCGCCAGCTCCCAATTCCCCCCACCCACTTCCGGGTAGGTAGCAAGGTAGAGACAGACGGGAGCTTGAAGTAGAGGGTCGAGGCCGGAAGTACAGTGCTCGAGGCGCCGCGGCTGTGCACTGTGACCTTCCTTGGCACCTACCTTAGGTAGGTACCTCGCCTTATTACCTGATATACCTACGCTCCGTCACCAGCGCACCCCAGCTTTCCTTGCGGCCTCCTGTTACTTGTGATTGTTGACAACTACCTTACTTTACAGTTATCAACAATTCACCTGCATTCGCTCCCTGTGATATCTAACGGCCAACCGCCTCGAATTGCGCGTCTATCCTACATCGCTTTCCTCGCTAGCTACACTTGCAACAAAACTACACAATGGTGAGGACGTGCGACGCGGACAGGGACGTCATTCCATCAACTTGCATCAAGCTGATTTGGTGCTCTACAGTCAGCTCAGAACTCAGCTGGTATCCAGACCCTCTTGGACGTACGTACTCTCCGTCGCGACACTCCATGTCGAATTGTCACTGACCCAAGCGATGCAGGCAGAGAGAGAAGCTTCCAAGATTGTCCAAAAAGGTATGCTCAAGAGTGGATGTTGAAGTAACCGGTTGGCTAACGAATGAACCCTGCCCAGCCCGCGAGTGTAGGTTCCAAGCTCGATCGATACTGCTGCGATTGTGACATGCTCACGTTGTATCGGAATAGTTCGTACGAAGCGGGTGAAGGAAGCCCGAGACGAGGCCAAGAAGGAAATCGAGGCGTACCGCAACTCTAAGGAGGATGAGTTCAAGAAGTTCGAATCTGAGGTATATCTGTCGCGGATTCCGATACCGCTTTGATACCATCTTGGCGCTGACAACTCTGTAGCACTCCCAAGGAAACCAAGCCGCCGAGGACGAGGCGAACAAGGAGGCCGAAGTAAAGATCAAGGAGATCCAGGGGGCCGGAAAGAAGAGCCAGGACAAGGTTGTGACTGACCTCCTGAAGGCGGTTTTCGAGGTCAAGCCCGTCGCGCCGACTGCCGCATGAGCCATTCCCAGCCTGCCGCGTAGCATCAAAACATATCGATAACGAGTGGATCGGATGCGCGGTGCGGAACATACGAATAGAAAGAAAGCCAGCACCACTGTCCCGGGAGAGAACAGGATGGAGAGGACACATTCACAGATTGCCGATGATGCGCGAAACCAGGAGAGTAGATTGAAGTGCCAGTTGCGTGCGCATTGTCACCGGGACTTTGGAGTATCGCACCTATGTAGATCGGGTAGCTGTGGTGGAATTGTACTTTGCTAGCCTGTCCTCCCCTTCATCTTCTTCTGTCTAAACTAAAAAGTCCATGAGAGTGGTGAGCATGTCAGAGAGGTCCTTGTGCTCGGGCTTGTCGAGGTTGAGGTCAGCTCGGTATTCCTCCAACGTCGCTTTGATGGCTGATAGACCCCTCCCGTCAGAGACCAAGAGGTTCTGCACCCTCCTCTTAGCGCCGGAATCTTCAGCTATGAGCCAAGCTAAAACAACGTCGATGTTCCAGAAGCTGTAAAGGCCTTCCTCAATCCTCCTCATGAACCACTCGCCTTCCGAGAGCTCAATCTCCTCAGCGCTCATGCCCGCTCGTTCTTGGCGAATCTTTTCCTGTTGCGCGTACAACATGGAATTATACCTCCTCCGACACTCGTAGAGCCGACCCAGCTTTTCGTAATCCTTCTCCACAAACTTAGCCAACGTCCTGATTCTCTCAGCAGAGTCAGCGGGCAAAAATCGTAGCAAGGACCTGAACACATCAAACAAGCTTTCTGTCATATGTCTCTGGGTTTTGCTCGTCTTCTTGAACATGGAGAAGAGCACCTTCAGCCCGCCAGCATCCACCAATTTTTGGCAGAGTTGCCCGCTCATATCTTCGTCAACGCAGTGTACGAGAAGACGCATTGCCGGTTGCTTGCTCATCTTACCCTCCTTGAGCATGATCAGGCACAGTTCGACACCCTCGGCTTCGAGAAATTTGGTCTTGCCTTCTGGCTCATCCACAATGCAGACGAGGGCGTTGAAGAGGTTCTCCATGTACTCTTCCTCCTCGCCGCCCTTTTCGGGATCACGTTTGCGATACGCAGAGACCAGCTGGAGGAATACCTCGACAGCATCCATCTCGGCGAGTGTCCGCCTTGTTGCTGGCGATGCGTTCGCAATGATGTCGAGAATTTCCGTAGCGTATTGCTTATTTTGGGATACGGGTGACTCTTGGCGTTGTGCTCTGTCGAGTAGCCATTTGACCAGCGTCGTGTTCTGTCCCACCTTTTCAGCATTCGTCGTTTTGGAGAGAAGGTTTTCAATAACTCCGAGGGCGTGGTATATACCGCCGCGGTCGGACTCATCCTCCTCGTCCAGACGCGAGAAGTTGGACACAAGCAAACCGACGAGGTCTGCAGTCAATAACGCACCCACCAGAGTATCCCAATCTTCATCCGCTGCATTGACGTCCTCGTCGGTGAGCTCGCCGATGATTTCCACCGCATCAATCGCAATATCTGTGTTGTCATGGGCTAGCAACCCAACGAGGCTCTCGACGCATCCAAGCTTGGCAAACTGGGGATATAGCTCGGGGTGCTCGGACAGGATCGAGAGGTCTTTGATGGCAGCGTCGAGGTCGGCTTCGCTCTCGATAAACTTGCTGGGCTCGTCGGCGAATCTTGCGCGCAGCTCAGCGTTTCGGGTTATGCGCTTCTCGAAGTTGAGTGCCGTTTTCCGTACCCAGCCAGCATCGATCTTTTCGGGGGCGGATGATTCCTCGCCGTGGCCGTCTACGAAGTCGAGAATCTCAGACTCCTGTTGTGTGATGCCCCCGCCAAAGAATCGTCCCTCATCATCGTCGTCCGGGGGCATCTCTGGGCCATAGTCTTCGTCTTCGCCATCTTCGTTTGGGTTTGGCGGTCCGGCAAAGACATCGCTATCGTCTCCTTCCGCGTCTACTGCGCTCGCATGTCGACTGACAGCGTCAGCTGCGCTCAGTTTTGCTGACTTGTATATTTCATCTGTCCGTCTGTCACTTCGTATTCGCGGCCGGACAATATGGGTTATCGAAAGGGGGGGATGGAGGTAGGTACTAACTGGGATCTCGCACAGCATCAAGCTTTCTTTTCGCAGCACTGCCGGACTATGACGTGCTTGGTAAGTAAGGATGTGATCGGAAAGCTTTTGGTGCAACTCACTTTGAACAACTCGTTGACATCCGCCATTTCCTCGGAATCCTTTTGAGAGAGGGGTTGGGTTACTGTCGGTGTTTTGCGCTGTTGAGTAGGTAGTTCTGCAGCAAAGGTATTACTGGATCCACGCTTTGGATGCTTTCAGACGCGAGTGTTGCATGGTGCCGTCGCGCCTGGCCCACCAGTGTAGCTCAATTCAAGGCACCTTCAGGGTACGTAGGGAGAACCTAGGTAACGATACCTGCACTGTAAAGAGTGCGGAGTGCTCCGTAAAGTCCGCATGTATGCATATATCGGGGCTCTGCATCAAGTGAAGCATATGCCCACCCGGTGCATCGCGTAGCCGTTTCTAGTAATGCTACTGCGCTTAGACTTGCCTACTCAGGCGTCATGGAGCTAAATGTGGTAGCCATCATCTTCATCAACTGTCCAACATACATATCCCAGAGTCTGTAGAACCCAATTGTGCACCTGTACGAGACCGATCGTCTCAGCACCGTCCAAATATCGCTATGCCGCCGACCGTCGTGCTCATCCGCCATGCCCAGGCGTTGCACAATGTTGATGATGAGTCTCCCGTCCAGCTTCACAGTCACGAATCAATCTGACATCACACTACAGGACTGGAACATTCATGACCCTGATCTGTCTTCTCTTGGATTGGATCAGTGCCAGGAACTGAAGGAAAACCTCTCGCGTCGTTTCGCCGATGAGAGTAATGCCATCATCATCGTCAGTCCCATGAGGCGCACGATCCAGACAGCCCTTCTCTCGTTGGACTGGCTGATCAAGAAAGGGGTGCCGATTCAAGCCGACGCTCGATGGCAAGGTAATCAGTCGTACATCCTTCTCAGGGTCGAGGTTACCTCTAGAGGCTTTCTAAGGCCACGTCACTGACCATAGTGTAGAAAACTCTGCGAAACCATGCGACACAGGCAGCACTATCGCGGATTTGAAAGTCGAATTTCCTAGTATTGACTTTTCTACTGTAGACCCTATCTACCCCCAAAAAACATCGCTTGCCGGCGCCCAATATGCTTTTAACAGGGAAGCAATACTCGGCCGAGGTCAGTCAGGCCTGCAGAGCATCTATGAACGCAAGGAGAAGCTTGTTTTCGTTGTCTCCCACTCAGGGTTTCTCCGCGCCGGCGTGACGGGTTATTGGTTCTTCAACGCCGACTATAGAATCTTCGAATTTGAGAAGAGCGGGGCGCCAGGGAGTCCTTTACAGCTCCTGCAAGCTGAGTCGACTCTAAGTGGTGGTCTTGGCAAATCAAGGACGGAACCTGTAATCATCGGCTCTGAATTGCCGCCGGCCTCGCAGACTCCCCCATAAGCCTAGTACTTGAAGCACGAGATGTCATGTGTTGTCAGATGGCCTCTGCCAAAAAAGGCAGTACATAGACTACTCTAAGACAGCGCGATGTTTCATTCACATGACCCGAAAAGAAGGTCTGGGGCTCCTCGCGGGTTGATACTGCAACAAAGGAGAGCAGACATCATCCATGCCAGACGTGACCATAGGCGCTGGGACATTGGGAAGAGTCTTGACGAGAACAGATCTCTTCTCACTGGCCAAAGTTCTCCAGATAAAAGGGGCCATTCAGGCTTAGGACATGACTGTTATTACACCAAGTTTACCTATCTTCATACACATACATAGTTCCCATGGGATCGATCCATTTGGCTTTAACTCTTGTACATTTCGACAGCCCAGCCCAGCCTACCATTGGTGTGCTCACCTGGAGAGGAAGCTTTGAAAAGCAGACTGATCAATGACAACGTTGCCGACGGCGCGAAGTCGCTTACGCCCGGCCTTTTGCTTCTCCAACAGTTTCTTCCGGCGCGTAATGTCTGAAGCATGGAGCTTTGCAAGCACATCCTTTCGGAACGGCTTGATGGTTTCGCGTGCAACAATCTTCCTCCCCGCCACCGCCTGAATAACGACCTCTGCAAAGAGTTAGGTCAGAGAATGCTGCCGTAACACTTGAGCGCTGTATAGAGAACTTACCAAACATCTGTCGATCGACGTGGTTCTTGAATTTCGTCACCCACTGCCTACCGAGGCGCTCTGCCTGGGAGGTATGGATGACACGACAAATGGCATCCACAGGCTGTTTGTTGACAAGAAGCTGCAGCTTCGTGAGCTGGCTGGCTCGCCAACCAGAGTCTTCATAATCTAGTGTCGCGTATCCCTTTCTGCTCTAGCCGTTAGGACAATGGCCCCATATGGTTGGCAAACGGGGTCGAAACCTACGTTGCGCCTTTCAGTTTACCAAAGAGGTCGTCGACGAGTTGTGCTGCAGGGATATCGTATTTGAGAATAACCTGCGTAGCATGAAAGAATTCAAAACTCTTTTGCTCGCCACGCACGCTCTCGCAAAGCTCAATAACACGGCCGAGGTACTCCTCCGGAAGAGTCATGGTAGCAGTAACGAAACTAACAAAGGTAATAAGGTTAGCCGTAGGGCATATTGAAACGAGAGAAGACTTCGGCTTACGGTTCTAAGACAGTTGCACCGCGCATCCGGTGCTCATCCTGGCTGGGGAAGTCAGCCGGATTCTGATAGATCGTCTCGGTGCCATCAGCCCATTCAACTTTAGTCGGCACAGTTGGATCCGTGATTATGATGCTGGCGCCATGTTCCTGTTTCAGCCGGTCCTGGAATACAGAGCAGTGTAAGCTGCCTAGGAAGCCTAGTCGCCAGCCTGCCCCTAATGCCTCGGAATAGTCCTTCTGCAGGGTTACGCTCCTGTCGTTCAGAACGAGCTGGCTAATGCTATCTGCGAGACGCGTATAGTCGCCCTGGTCAGTTGGAAAGGCCGCAACGAAGACCATTGGCTTTGGTTCCTCAAAACCAGGATACGCCTGGACGATGTCCTCTGAGCCGACGGTGGTGAATGTGTCGCCGAGTTTGGCGTCCTGGATGCGCTTCATACCAGGGTTGAAGTATATGTAGCCTACCTGTCCAGCTCGAAGGACACTTTGTGGGACAGCATTGGGGTACTGTATCCCAACCTCGCCAACGGTATATTTGTGGCCAGTGGCGAAGGAGATCAGGTTGTCGCCAGCCTTGACCTGGCCATCGAAGACGCGTACAAGCAGGATCACGCCCCTGAAGTTGTCGTACCATGAATCAACCAACAGAATGCGCGCAGGTTTGGAAACATCGCCGACAGGATGCGGAATCTGCTCTACAACGGCGGGAAGAATGTTGGCCACGTTCTTGCCAGTCTTGGCTGATACAAGGACAGCCGTGGAAGGTTCCAGCTCAAAAGACGTTTGCATCTGCTCGAGGACCCGCGGTACGTCAGCGGAGGGCATGTCAATTTTGTTGACAACAGGAATGAGAGCGAGGTCCTGGGCAAATGCAAGATGGAAATTAGAAACAGTCTGGGCCTGGATACCCTGACTAGCATCGACTAGTAGTAGAGCACCACCGCAACTGGCGTACGATCGCGTGACTTCGGCTCTGAAGTCAACATGACCAGGAGTATCAACAAGATGCAGGAGGTAGTCGTCGCCCTTGTAGTTGTATAGCATGGTGCAAGTCTGCGCCTTGACAGTAATGCCTCGTTCACGTTCAACATCCAGTTTATCCTACGAAACGACGGGGAACCATCAGCTTTACGCCCTCCTTAATATGCAGCCATACAGTCAGACCCAAACTCACTAGAATTTGCTTATTGGCATCGCTGGCGGATATCGTACCGGTGATCTCTAGAAGGCGGTCGCTGAGCGTACTCTTGCCATGATCGATATGGGCCACGATACAAAAGTTTCGGTATCGTTCAATCGGAATCGAAAGTATTCGCTCCTCGAGCGCAGACCGTGACGGCGCCGCAGGCTTAGCGAAGGTTGGCGTGCCGGAGTGAAACGTTCTTCCATGATCGATGCCACTGCATGTCAAGGTCTTCCATTGTCGTGGCCGTTGCGCACGAACATTGCCTTGCAAGGAGATGCGAGCCGTCTTGCTCGACGAGGAAAATCGTTGTAATTGGCGTGGATATCCGACCAATTGGTCCCGCGTAAAGCGCACGCTCGTCGCTAAGGGGCCGCACATCAAGGTGTTTTTCTCTGCATCGAGCAGATCCAAGCTCGAGGTTCGAATGTCCCAAGGGCGAGGTGTGATAAATGTCGACTGTAGTTGGCTTAATGCGTTCAACACATTGAACCATGGCTACCTACTTTTCTCGCCAGGCGCAGGGACAGAGGAAGGCGCACCAGCCCAAGGCCAGGTACCTGAGGTTCCGTACTTACGGGGACCTTGGAGGCACCTACCACGTGGTAAGGTACCCCTTGACCTTATACCCATTAAGTGCAGGTCCATCCGTAGACAGGACATACTTAGCGGCATATCAAGCCTGTGCGGGTCACCTACGGGCACCCGACAGGCCGGCCTCCCCGGCACCTCAGGTTGATTCCTGATAGATAAGCTATGGTTCGGGCCGTCCGGCCACCTGCCTCCGATGCCGCATCCGTTGACGACGAAGCCAATTCACAGAGCCCGAAGTCATCATCATACCCGTGCCCGACCTACAACTGATAGTAGACGCTCGCCCTGCGTCCACATCAGAATTATTTATAATTCTGTAGTCAATTCCATTTCAATGTTGAAAATGTTGAGGTATCTTTTTGAATCTGAAAACTTCAAACGCAGGACCAGCAAGCGGGCTTACGTAGACAATTCCACCATTCCATCCGGCTTTAGCTTCTATCATCGGATATCCGACCTTCTAAACCCAGGTATAGCTCTTGATTAAATAAGTCCGGTTGGCAGCCCCTTCAGCTGCTCTTTACTACTCTTAGATCATGCCTCCGTGGCCTGCTTGTCATATCCACATGGACAGTTCGTGTCGCGCAGCTCATGCTTCGTTATCTTAGGCGAGAACCCACTCGCTTCCCCTCTTGATAAATTTGTCCAAGAGCAGACTCAGGTCAGACAACACAAACCGGCAGATGAAGAAGCCAAAAAACTCTGCCGCATGTCGTGTGCAAAGCTCGAGGCCGACCTGTGTCTTGTCGGCATGCCTCAGGCCTGGATCTTCAACCTGGCGCGCGATTTGGTCTGGATCTCAAAGTGTCAGTCATACGGAGTATCTGGCAAAAGCTATTGGCCATCTTACCAATCGTCTGAGCAGCGTCAAACAGTCGAGCCAGTGACCCCATATAGTTCGCATTCGGCCCTGAAAATTGCGCGTTGCTCGGGTCTCTTCTGGAAGGACGACTTGTTGGGTGTTCCGTCATCGGCAGTGTTTCTAGGCCTGGAGATTCCTTACCGCTCTCTCCCCCATTGCTTTTGGCATTAAAGGAATTGTTCAAGCCCGCTGCCGAATTCTTGGACCGCAGCCTTCGCCATGAGAAGGATGAGGACTTTCCCGACACGCTTGCTGAACGCGGCACACTGATTGCCGCTTCAAGCTCTGCCGAATTCGACGCATCTCGGAATAACATGCTGGAGGTCTGAACACCCACATCCGTACCCAGCTTGCGTGTCAGCCCGACTTGTACTTGTTCGAGAATGCCTTCCAAAGCTTGCATCTCTTCGAGAACAGCATCCGCGTCACATGTGTCGACTCGCGCGAGCTTCAATAGCGCAGCTGTCAGGTAGTCGCACGTTGCCACTTTATCCTCCACATTTCGAATCTTGACGCCCTTCACTTTCCATACGTCGCGTGGAACAAATAGCTTGTTGCTGAGGTATCCTCCGCGGGGGTGAGCAAGAGTCTGATATAGACATCGCATTAGCCAAAATGGCCTCAACATATAGTCTGTTGGGCACGGCTCTAGGGGAATTGGGGCATCTGGCTGAAGTGCGTTTGGCGACCCCGGGCTCTGCGGTGAATGAAGGCTATCATCAAACAGGTAAAGGCCCCCGGCAGAGCTTGGCGTGAACTTCTCTTTGAAAGCAGCTGCCAAGGGTGTTGGCAGCGTTGGCATCGCTGGATGTCTGCCATTAATGCCAAAAGCGGTACTTAATGGGGTGCCGGGAGACATATCAGACGCATCGTCCAGATTCGATAAAGACATGTTGCGGTTCTTCATGCTTCTTAAACTTGAGGAAGAGAAGTTCTTCCTTAATGTAGGTCGAAAAGAAGGCGAACCAGAGTGACTGCCCGTAAAGTCCTCACTGTCCTGGCTTCTTGAGTGGCCAAGCGGAGGTGTAGGAGGCACTGGCTGGGTTGGACTGATGCCTTCTGGCGGCGAATATGGTCGAGCCATAGAGCCATCCGCATCCGCCTCCGCATCGGGAGGCCCGTTAATTTCAGGGTGTCCGAAATCTACCCCATGTATTCCACTCAGCGCTTGGGCAACACTGTATCGTCGACCAGGGTCGCCATACGTTGCAAGCTTGGTAGTTTCAATCTTTAGTTGCTTGGGATTTTGTCCGGACATCCGCCTGCTTCGCACACTTTGCCCAGGCCCTGGCAATGGCGTCGCCCCCGATACAGGCTTTTTACTGGGCAATTCGGGCAAAGCTTGTGCTGGCGGCGGAACTGCAGGGCCTCCGACACTCGGGAAGTTGTTTGCGGCGATAGGATCGACAAGAGAAGAGAAAACATCATCACCTGCGGCATCGGTTGGAGTGACGGACGGCTGCCATGACGACTGGGCCAGATCACTTGAGCCCGATGTTCTAGCTGCAGCCTGATGAGAGGCTAGGTTAAAGGCGAAATCGTCAACCGAGTAGTCTCGAGTGATCTCGTCAAGAATGCGCTCCTCTTCATCTGATGATCCGTCATCGAAGAAGTCTTCGCGGACGACACCTTCGTCAGACTGCTGTTCCACTTGAATTCGCGCAAGCCGCTCTCTCTCGTTGGCTTGTTCAATAGCCTCTCTCTCCGTTTGGCGAACCCGCTCTTTGGCCAACTCAACCTTTCTCAAGGCCTTCGCTACAATCGGATCATCTGAGCCTTGAGTTTCTGGATCAGAAAATCCTGTCGGCTCATACCCATCGTCATAGGCTGCTTCCACTGCGGCGTCTAACGCTGCGTCAAACTCTGCTTCAGTAGCGCCACTCGGGGCACGTATGTGCTTGCGTCTTATCACTGCAGATGACGACCTGGAATGAACGGAGGACGCTGTGGAACCTCCAGACTCATCAATGGGGTCCAACCACGAGTTCGACTCACGACTCGAGTCCCTGACGTGTCGAGAACTTTGGCTAGTTCGTCTTGCTGAGAGGGAGAAGTCTGATCTGATGGGTCCATCAGGGCTACTTTGGCTGTCAGCCTTAGGTGACGAGAGCCGTCTCGGGGAGAGCGGCGGCGGCATGTACGCGTCGTCTGTGGGTATTTGAAAGATGAGTTGATCATCTGACGCACGCTCTCGAAGCGGAGATCGTGAGAAGGAGGATTGCAAGGGGTACTGCTCCGGTAATCTTGCAGAAGCACTCCTTTGTCGGTCTCCAAGACCCTGCGTTCGTGAGATGGTCAGACCAGAGCCACTGTAGATATTTGCTTGTTGATTTCCCTCTTTCAATATCCTCGTCAATGTCGCAGTTTCCAAGCCATCCGTATCCTCCAAATCTTCATCGTCATCGTCGAATTGCAGGGTAGGATTCAAGCGCAGGCCCAGGCTTTCTGGTCTAGCTGGCAGTGCCTTGCCTTCTATAACTTGCTGGACGGGAACCATTTGATCCAGTTCTTCAATGCGACTGGTGTAGGTTCGACGCTTGGTCTGGTTAGCTTTGGTTTCAGCCGCTTGAAGAATAACACCGTTAGACTCACGATCGCCTCAAGCTTTCGTCTGTCCTCCTCGGTGGATGTCCTAGCAAGCACCTGGTGCAGCAGCTCGCATGCCTCCGCGTATGAATGCCTCGCGCCTTCAAAGTTCTGCGCATTATCTAGCTGAACTGCCGTATTCGCCTTTTGTAAGGCTCGTGAAAGCATGGCTTTTTGCGATGGCGGCCGGTTTCCCCTTTCCTTGCCCCGCGAGGACGCAGTGGTATCGGCACTCCCCTTTGCGGCCTGCGACCAATTGCGGGAGTGGCCCTTCGTCTCATAGGTCTCCCCATTGCGATCGGGTGGCATTGCTACGCGAGACACTTGCTGTCGACGCTGTTCAGTTGATCCTCTCCGTCCGGGACCGGAGAATGCATCCCAGGTTTGGTTCTGGTCGGTGACGAGACCGGTCTTGAGCGTACGGGAGGCACCCGTCGGCGCTCGCGAGCCGTTTCCTGGAGTTGGGAGCTTGTTCGTCGAGGGCGAGTTGTGGTAATGGGATGTAAAGAAGGTGGAATGACTCTCGGTGTGCGTGAGTCCAGATGGTGAGTAGGCGCGCAACTTGCTTCCGTTATTAGTTCCCCAAGAACCGTCGCTGGAGTTTGATCGTCGTCGGTGTCTCGGGAGCCTTTGACTTGGCTGACTAGGTGCCAATGTGCTGTTCGTCGCGGGTAATGCAGAGGCATCAACGCTCATGCGGCGTGCATGAGAGTTGAACGCGCAATGGTCCTGGACCGATGCCCGGCTTGAGGTTGTCGAGGCAGACCAGCGATTGAGATTTCTTACCCCGTCACTCGAAAGGCCTGCGCTGCTCGAACGCGAGTGGGCGGTGGAGGGTCGGAGATGTGAAGACACTGCGTAGTCCAATGGTGAGTTTGAGTCGGGTTCTTCGAGGATCACGACATCGGGCTTGTTTGTCGGAAAGTGAGTTGCAGGCTGTTGCGGGGGCGGTAGAAGAGAGGATGTTCGTGGTAGTGGTGACGGCGTTTTGCGCGAAAAGGACGTGCTTGTGTCAAGACGAGAACCAAGCGAAGATGAGACTGGAGCCTGTGGTCGGTCGGAGCGTGTGCCGATCGGGTAGCGGGGGGCAGCCAGGTGATTTGAAGACGGCGACGAGGGGAAGGACCTGGAGAGTCTGTGCTGCTTCTGATAAGACGGTTGCTGTTGCTGCTGATTGTGGTGGTGTTGCTGGTATTGCGGTGAGCCCGATGCATGTATTTGATGGGTCTGAAGGGTCTGCTCGGGATGGTATAACGACGGTGAATGCGACTGCGACAAGTCTGGGTTCGAAAAGGTATCCGAGCTGATGGTTTTGGGTGAGGGCATCCTGTGCACCTGAAGGTGTGTAGTGAGGTATTCGATACGCTTGGAAGAGTCTGGCCAGAGACGTTCAAGTTGGTCAACCGGAACAAGCTCGCTACCACACCGACGGCATTGAATGTGTCACGGCTACACGTAGTACCGGTTCATTCCAGGGGGTGGTCGGTCGTTTGTCGTCGCCGACAGCCTGGTTGAGCATGGGTATGTGGTATGAGAACGGTTCAATTGCCTCCGGGAGAGGATGATTGGTACGGACGACGGAGCACAGAAAGCACGGATATCCGCACAATGCGACCACGTTCCAGGAAAAGGGGCAAGTGATAATAGTCAGTCGCTCTAGATGTACAAATGCTTCTTAGCTTATCTATCAGCGGCACTTTGTGGCTTTGCCTCTATTACAGTGTCGGTCGTTAAGGAAGTGATGGGTGCCACGCCACTGCCAAAAGGGGCCTCTAGTGTGTACTATCGCAACGCTTGGTTCAATGGCAGTCGTGAGAGCATGGGAAGCTAATTACTGTCAGATTGAGCAGCCACACTTGTGTCAGGAGGCAGGTGGTGTGCTGCGCTCTTGCCAATTGACCCAAAAGATCAGTCACTTCTGGCACGTACCAGACGTGCACCACACGTACGCTTAAGTAAGCTGCCCGGGCCAGGGGCTTCGTGCCTGCCTGCCCGCACCCTTACAACTTAGCTGGTCCGGGCACTTAATGGCGCTCTTAAGCCCTTAGTAAATGTAGCAAGCTATTAATGTGTAAGGGGTGTAGTTAAGTGCTGTAGCTAGGAAAGATATAGAAGGTAGGTTTAGTATATTATATAGACTTAAGCTTAATATTCTTATAAGGCTATTATAAGAATTAGCTTTTCTTTTTAAATTAGGTTTTATTAAAGATTTATTAAGCTTTAATTATAGCCTTATAATTAAGCTATATTAAACCTTAATTATAGCTTTATAATTAAACTAGGCCTAATTAGGTATTTATATATTAAATATTTTTATAATTACCCCCCTTTCTTTAAGCTTTAGCCTTTAAAATAGCTGTTTATTATATAATTTATTATCCCCTCGGCGGAGGCATCCGCTAGGGCACTAATATATACGATATATTATGTAACGGGAAAACTGGGTATATTACACTATATTCCTAACTATTAACTAACCAAACTCTAATTATTACCCCCCTTTATCGATTTCCGCCCGACCTTCCGCCGCCCCTATACCTAAACGGCTAACTTTACTTACTTTAATATATATAAAACCTCTTAATACTAACCTATATAGGTAGCTAGATCCCCTCGGCAGAGGCATCCGCCGGGACACCAATATATACGACATATTATATAACGGGAAAATTAGGTATATTATATTATATTCCTAACTACTAACTTCCGCCCGACCTTCCGCTATATAAATTCCTTTTAAGTTCTAGCCCTACGCCTAAATAGCTAACTTTACTTACTTTAATATATATAAAACCTCCTAATACTAGCCTATATAGGTAGCTAGATTTAATATAATAGCTTTTTTTTTATTAAGGTCCATAAATCTCTTAAATAATTTCTTTTTTTTATAATATAAAGTATTTTTATAAAATTAGTTTTATAAAATATAATTTCGAGGCCGGTATTAAGTTACTAGATCTTAGTATTATATTTAATATAATTATTTATAATATTTATAATCTTATTTAATTAAATATTATATTTCCGGAAAGTATTATATTATTTTATTAATATATTCTTATAGGCTATGATAGCTAGGGTATTAAATAGGCCGAAAATTTAATTAAGCTTAAGAGGGGTAAATATGTCTAGGGCAATAGATATTATTAGTCTTAGCCTACTAAATAATAACTATATGTTACCTAGCGGATATTATTATTTAGTAGGTTTATTTAGTAGTTATATTTATAAGTAATAGAATAGTATCTATACTTATATATATAATATAGAATATAATAAGAATAAAAAAAATCCTTATAAGCTCTAAAGAGTAGTAAGATATTAGCTATATTAGCCCTTTCTCTAGAAGCCTCTACTTCGATATTAGAGTTTAGAATATCTCCGGTAAGTACGGCCTTCGACCTTTAAGGCCGACCTTGGCGGTCGACCTCTATAGTCGACCTTAACGGCCCATACCGCTATATAAATAATAGGTAACCTACCTACTTATATTATATTATATCTTTTAGATTAAAATTACTATATTAAGTTAGGCGCATATATGGGGCATATTATGCGTATTATATAGTTAAATTGTATATTATATTATATGAATTCCCTTAAAAGTTAATCCCGTTAAGGTTGATCTTTTGCGCCCATAAAGCTGGAAAAAAACTACTATATAGATAGCTAGATCTAGTATAATAGCTTCCTTTTTTATTAGGGTCTATAAACCTCTTAAATAGTCTTTTTTTTTATAATATAAAGCGTCTTTATAAGGTTAGTTTTATAAAGTATAATTTTAAGGCTAGTATTAAATTACTAAATCTTAATATTATATTTAATATAGTTATTTACGATATTTATAATTTTATTTAACTAAATACCGTATTTTTAAAAGGTATTATACTATTTTATTAGTATATTTTTATAAGTTATAATAGTTAAAATGTTAAATAAGTATTACGGCCAGCTAGTTATAATAAGTATATTTATAGAAGTTAAGGCTATAATATTAATAAATAGTATATTATAGTTGTAGATAGCTTTCTTAAAGCTATATTTATAAGTCGTAAGGTAGATAAGGCTTTAGTAATCAATTGTAGTCTTATTAAAAGGGTTCTTAATAAAGATAATTAAAAGTAATCGTAAAATTTGATATTAAATTAATTATTAAAGAAGTTGTAAAAAATCTATCTTTAAGCCTAATTTAAGTCTATCCTATATATAAGTCTTATATATTATTTAAATAGTTCTTTTATAGTTAAAACTAATATTATAACGTCGGTTTTATAATGATAGACCGCCTTTATTTTATCGGTCTTATTTATAAATTACTTATTATTTATTAGTCCTTTTTATTATTACGTAACTTATTTATAATTTTTTCGACCTAAGAGGAGTTATTTTAAATCCGTTTTTCCGTATATATAGTATAGTAGCCGTTATAGGCCTTATAGGGCGAGACTCTGGCCTCGTTATATGTGTTAGGTCGTAATAATAAGTTAAAGATTTAATTAAGCCCGAGAAGGGTAGATATATCTAGGGTAATAAATATTATTAAAGTCTTAGCCCGCTAAGTAACGATTATATATTACTTAGTAAATATTATTATTTAATAGGTTTATTTAATAATTATATTTATAAATAATAAAGTAATATTTATATTTATATATAGAATATAGAATATAATAAGAATAAAAAGAATCTTTACGAGCTCTAATATAAATAATAAAATATTAGCTATATTAGCCCTTTTTTTTAAAAGCCTCTACTTTAACATTAAAGTTTAGAATATCTCTGGCGGCCTTTGACCTTTAAGGCCGACCTTAACGGTCGACCTAATATGTCTTTATAATCTTTTTATTTTTGAAACTAGCTTTTTTTATTTATAATAAAAATAATAGCTTTATATATTATTCTTAATGGTTTTAGTAATATAGGTTTTATTATATTAACTTAACTTTTTTATATTCTCTTTTTATTATTAATTTATTATAATAACTATTTTATTATTATTTATTACTAATATTTAATAACCGACCCCTATTATATAAAGGTCGTTAATAACCGCTTTAATATTATATATTTCTTTACGTAATGCCGTTATTTTAATATTTTTATTTTTTGATTTTTTTACTATTCGATTATTATACTGAATTTTCTTTTATTAATAACGGACTTTTATACCTTTTTATAAATTTTCTTTTTATTATATTCTCTTTATTTAATTAGTTACTGCTTACTTATTATAAATATTATTTTTTAAATAGCGTTGTTTAATAACTAGGAGTATTTATTAAAGAAAGACTTAATTAGCCTTATTAAAGGCACTGCCTATTTAAGCTATTTTATTTAAATTTATTATAATATTATTAAATTTATTTATTATATGATTACGACCTAATACATATAAGGAGGCCAAGGTCTTACCCTATAAGGCCTATAATAACTACTATACTATATATATAAAAGAACGGATTTAAAATAACTCCTTTTAAATTGAAAGAATTATAAATAAATTACGTAATAATAAAAAGAACCGACGGATAATAAACGGTCTATAAATAAGACCGATAAAATAAAAGCGGTTTACTCTTATAAGACCGATATTATAATATCGGTCCTAATTATAAAAGAATTATTTAAATAATATATAAGACTTATATATAAAATAGACTTAAACTAAGCTTAAGGATAGACTTTTTATAGCTTCT